AATATCAGAAAAATCTACTTGAGTACAGTAATGAAGTATTTGTACTTACTTCCCATCTCTGGAATTGGCGCTATAGAAATAAAGTGAACTGAATTTATAAATGATGACACCAATGTCCAGTTGAGCAGGAATATGAGCGTTTATAACTTTCTACATCCTGACTGGTTGTAAGGGAGGAATCTCACTGCATGCTGTACATGTAAACAGAACACTTCTGGTTATTAGTTCACTGCTCATATTTCTGAACTTCTCGTCTGTCTTTGTTGATAACAGGCACTCATACAATGGCCTTATTGGAGAAGCTGGAGCCAGGGAAGGTCTACCTGCTGAAGATCTGTGCCTCCAACAAAGTAGGCGATGGACCTTTCTCTAACACCGTGGAGCTGGCGCCGAGGCGTGGACATCGCAGCAAGAATCCCAGGCACTCCGACAGCTTTCCAGACTCCAAAGGTCGGCTTTTAGAAGAATACACTTATTGAAAGTGGAAACGCTGTTTCGCTCCTTCTTCAGTGTTATTCCCCCTGATGCTCCACCTGACGCCTCTGTTTTACCTTCCAGTGTTCTCTGATGGCCTCTACCACCTCGATCAGAGCTCTATGACGGGGATAATGGTCGGCGTGAGCATTGCCTTAACCTGCATCGCCATGTGTGCCTTAATCCTCATCAGTAAAGGCAGACCAAGGTAGTGGATCAGTTGATTTCACCTTCTTAAAAATTATCCCACGTTTATGCAGAAACAAACTTCATCTCTGACTTTTTATTTTTAGAAAATCTGCTAGTCCCAAAATGGTTGCTGTCCGTGGTTCTGGAGGGCCTCATCCGGGCATGGCGCTGCCCGGCAGTTACCATCTGGAGAACGTTGAGGCCCTTTTACCGATGATCAGTAGTCGCTTTATTGATCCAAAGGTAAAGGAAACTGAAAGTCATTAAACATCTGAACACTTCTCACTTTAGATCAAGCTTAAAATAAGTCTACACTTGTATTTTTTTAGGGTGGATCTGATCTCATCATGAATAGTTCAGGTAGCAGCCAGGTTCAAAGCAACAAGTGGCTGATTTTCCAGAAAGAGATGAACGATTCAGCCGCCAGTGAGGTAAGACCAGTGGAATTCTTTCCTGTCAGCGGGTTTCCTTCCATCAAATCTTACTTTTCCTTCTCTTTCATCAGGCTGAGACAAGAGTCTGTTTGTATGAGAAAGGCAGAACTGTGTTGAGGTATGATGAGCGCCTAGGCTCAGCCCCACTCGCCCCGTCGTCTCGCGAGATCATCTACGGTCCGCTTCACTCGGAGAGCTCCCAGAGCAGTGAAGGCAGCCAGGAAACCGGAGACTCTGGTCACTTCTCCAACGAGGAGAGCAACGAAGAATTCAGCAACTCCTCTACCTGCCAAACTTCAGGAAGTTTGGAGTCCGATGATGGTCCAAATCTTAAGCAGTCTGTTAAATTGGAACCAGCGGCGGCGTCCTTCCATCCTACCGAAGGGTCCTGGCTTAGCAGCACCTCCTGACCCTCTCACACCTGCTTCTGCACCCCACCGCTTCTACCTTCTTCCAAAAAAGTTAATCAATCCACTGGAGTTTGTTTCTAAATTTGAAGTTGTTTTGCTTCCCATCCAGGAAGATTTTTCAATTCAAAATCTCAGAAATAGGCTTTATATCAGAGGTCTTCAACAGGGGGTCTGCGTCCCCTAGGGGGTCCATGAACGTTTTTTTTTTAATTCCCCCCTGCAATATTTTCCACTAAATGAAATGTCTTTAAATCCACATTAACATGAATCCAACAGA